CCCTGTCAAGCTCTGCTGCTGGCCGATGACGGTGGCCGGGCTTGATCAGACGATGGACGATGACGATGACGATGGATCGGAGGAAGACAAGTTGGGATCGGGATCGCCACGCGGCGGCGGCTGCAAGAAACTGGCCAAGCTTCGAGAGAGGGTGGTCCCGCATTTCCCCCTGAAGAAGAAACTGCTCCTCGGCGTCAAGCTCGTCTCCTCCACGTTGAATTCGGCTATGGCGCCACCCCTTCCAAGGACGACGAGGGGGTAGCTGGCGGCGGGCTGGACAAGGGAGGAGGTCCCGACCACCAGCATCAGGTCGCAGCCGGTGATGGCCTCGTAGGCTTTCGTCAAGACCATGGGATCGAGAGATTCAGTGAACCAGACGACGTTGGGTCGCAGCAGGGCGTTGCACCCGATCCCGGCGCACCGCGGGAGCAGGGCGGTCGGGATCGCCGCGCTGGGAGCGCCGATCTCGGGTGATCCCCTGCCTTCCAGGTCGGGACAGATGGGCATGTCGCGGTTCTCTCGGATGACGTGGCAGCGCGTGCAGCGGGTCTGCCACATGGAGCCGTGCAGCTCGACCACGTGCTCGCTGCCCGCCACGTGGTGCAGGCCGTCGATGTTCTGCGTGAGCAGGGAGAACTCCCTCCCCTCCTCCTTGCACCTCCTCTCAAGCGCCGCTAGCGCGTGATGGGCGGGATTGGGCGCAGCTCTCAAAGCCACCCCCCGGCGATAATGGTAGAACTCCCACACAAGCGATGGATTGGCGGCGAAGGCCGCCGGGTCTGCCAGCTCAGCAGCATTGTACAGCCGCCAGAGCCCTCCAGCTCCTCTGAAAGTCGGGATCCCAGACTCCGCGGAAACGCCGGCGCCAGTCAGCACCGCGATCTTCTTCGCGCCCCGCAAAGCGCGCCGAAAACCCTCTTCCACCCTTCCCTCCTCCTCCTCCTCCTCCTCCTCTCCCTCGTTCTTGTCCTTCTTCTTCTCGGATTTTGCCTGTCGTTCTTGCCTCCTGTTTCCAGCAGAGCGAAGACTTGCTGCCCCTGCGCCTCCTCCTCCTCCTCCTCCTCTTCCTCCCATATCCGATCGGTCTTTCAGTGGACGGCACAGATCGTGTGAGGAGATCCCCCTTCGGCGACCGCTGTCTACAGTGATGACACGCGCACTACCTGAGCTGCTGCCACGTGTATCGCCACGTGCATTGCCGCGTGGCGCGCTTTGGCGCGAAAACTTGGCGGGAAAACTTGCGTTGCAACAGGACACGTAGCCTTTGGTGGCCTTTTCCGACACGTGACAGTCTTCTGGCCAATCGGCGCTGATGGATAGGGATCGGGATCTGAAATAGGCCCAATAGCGACGGCAAAAGAAAGCGACAGCTGGAGCAGCTGAGCTGCTGCCACGTGTCGTGCTGCTGCAGCTGCTGGTGCTCTTGCTGTTGCTATAAAGAGGATGATTTGGCGGGAAAACGCCAAGAGCAGAAGGGACATTGTTACTGGCAAGAAAAATTGGCGGGAAAACTCCGACACGTGGCGCGATCCTGAGCAACCGCTGATCGATCTGAACGCGTCGCAACGGAGCAAGATGACTTGGCGGGAAAACTTGGCGCGAAAACTCTGACACGTGGCACGAAGACTTGGCCGGAAGCTCCGACTGTTGCCCAAAAGCAGCAGCAGCACGAGGAGGAGGAGGAGAAGGAGGAGGAGGAGGAGAAGGAGGACGAGGAGGGGACTCTGCTGCAGCTGTGATCTGACAGGCCTGAGAGGCACTGCTACGAGTGATTAGGAAGCCTGCACGAATCCTAGCTCCCCCGTTTATAGCACAGGGGATCATTGTGCTTGGAATTTTATTTTATTACTGTTATTATTTATCTGAAATGTAATAATATTCCAAAAAAATTGCTGCCACGTTAATTCTTCTGTAATTATCCAAAAAAAAAGCGAATCATCCCCGATAAAAAAATTCCAACTAATACTACAGTAATTATTATCATACAAGAAAAGAAAAGAAAAGAAAAATACTATTTGCCTCGCACGGCCAGCAGTCGCTTTTAACCAGCAGCGCCGAATGGACCGTCAAGGAAGAATGTGGCCACCATTGTGGTCAGATACACACTAATTTAGGGAAACTCCTTGCGCGAAATCGAGAATGGCCCTGGCTTCTATATACCCCCTTCTAAATCTATATCTATCTAATACTAAAGGCCACCTTTTCCCGTAGACGTCTCTTTCTATCTGTCAGCCGCAGTACATACCTTTCTGCCCCCCTCAAGAGAAGCTTTCCTTTCCCTCCTACCCCCCCCTCCTTCCCCCCCTTCTCCCCCCTACCAGCCCCCTTTTAATCGCCTTCTGATCCATCCAGTTTCACTCCCTCCTCCCCCTCTAGTA